CCATTTTATATGTAACAGTTTAGGTAAATCTTGTACAACCTCTGCTGCAAATGCTGGCCCATTGTCACTGATCATGGAGAGAAGCAGGTCAAACATTGAAATTATCTCATTTAATAAAGCCTTGCATACCTCTGAAGCCTTCTCTGTTTCCATAGGGAAGGCCTCAAGCCACCCAGAGTAAGTAAAATACATACCAACACATATTTATAACTCTTACAAGGGGTTGGTATAATCATCTGATGTTTCTGTTTAGTTGCCTTTTTGGCTTCTATGTCTGCCTTGGCATTGCCTTTTGCTATTGTATCATTTTTCTTGATGTCTACAATATATCATGCACACTTATAAATTCCCAATGATCAAAGTGGTTATAACATATAACTAAAATGCACCAATAAATGTAATGAATAAAAAATGCATACTGAAACCACAATGAATGTTAATGTGCATCTTAAAGGCTATAAATAAAAAGTGGACAAAAACAAAAGCTAAGCTTAGAGTTCTTGTACACTGCTGACCAATATTTATTTTTAACACTACATTTAAAAAAAAACAGTACTTTGAAGAATGCTGCAATTATTTTTAAATAAGTTGGTGATTCATGTAATTCATGATCCATCCTTCATTCACTGAGCAGAACTTTCCTGACAGAAAATGAAAGCATATGTTTGTAGGTAGAAGTGCATGCAAATGTTTCCAACAGTTATACTGGTAGTAACCAAAAACTGAAAATAACTCAATTGTCTCCCCACAGGAAAATGGCAAAGCCTGTTATAAAATATCCAAATAAGTGAAAAATTATCAATAAAATACAGCATGGACAATGTATCTAAAAGCATAGCCTAAGTACAATTGTCTTATGAGTTTTTTATATTTTTGGCCTCTTACTCTGGTTTTAAATCAGTACATATGCTAATTAATTTTCTAAGGTCTCATAAGATTAAATGACTTTGATGCTGGCAAATTCTAATGCATCTAAAAAAAGATGGGTAAAAGAGAAGGGGAAAATCATAATTTAAATGTGATATGTATATGTAACAATTCCATACAATGGATGTAATTATTATGTACCATAAACCTGTACCAATAGAGTAAAAAAAAAAAAGCAGTAATGAACTACTGACAGATCATTGGGTGAATCTTAAAACAAGTGTACTCAGTGAATGTATAAATGAAACTATACTGTCTACCTAGAATGTTCCAATAAATTCAATTAAAAAATAATTAAAAAAATAAAAATAGAAAAAAGTTTTACAGAGATATAAGAAAAATTTCACAAGCAATACATGTCATTTTCAGTTTTGGTTATGAAAATGCTGAAATATATCTGTTTACAAATATGTGTGTGTGTGTGTGTGTGTGTGTGTGTGTGTATATATAGGAAAAATAAATATCAAGACATATATGTAGGTAAATCTGCAAATACATTTTGATCATGTGGCAGTAATGTAGGTAAATCTGCAAATACAATTTGATCATGTGGCAGTAAATATTCAGTTATATATAGATACATAAATATATAGAAATAAATAGCTCAATATACATATGCTAATATTCATGCAACCTGTATGCTAATTTTATTTCAATAAATCTGTTTAAAACAATACAATTGCCAGTATGCCTATGAATTACATCAAGTATTTAGTAACAATATATTAGTAACATAAGTGAAATATTTAATATTCATAAGAAAAATTAATGTTCAATGAACCATATGTTGTATTAGATCTCTGAATTTTCATTTTTACACAAACTGATTATATTTTCACATAAATGTATAGCAGAAATTCATATGTATATATACGTGTGTGTGTGTGTGTGTGTGTGTGTGTGTGTGTGTGTGTGTATATTTGGACAGAAAGTGAAAGAGAAAGAGAAAGCCCCCAGAAATATATATATTTTTTTCACATTTCAGGAAAAGAAAGAGGATGATTTTTCAACAGATGGTCTAACCCTCTTATGGAGGACTCTAGCAAATGTCACATGTCACAAAAAAGCCACTATACTGCTGGCCCTTAGAAAACAAATTGAAACTAGACCTGAGCAATGTCAATGACCAAGGTTACTCAAGCAGCAGTTTGACATAATAATAAAAGTCTGGAAGCCACTGACTACAACTTTGATCACCTCCTGTAATTGCGGAGACCACAGGGAACTTGTATCAATCTCACGATATCTCAATGTTTAGTACTAAAATATTTATATGAGTTTTTCTTTTCTTGAAATGTATGCAATTCTAATTTTATGGGATATTAGAAATCAACAACAGCACCAAAATATGTTAAGGAGGGCTGGATACTTGAAATGCTCATGAGCCAAAATGAAAAATGGGAGGGAAGAAGGTGACAGGCAACTGCCGTGCAGGTGAGACAATCAACCAAAGCCAAGTTCTTCATCTCCTTGGCTTGCTCCCTATGGATTTGCACTGTCCTATAATCACATGAGACTAAATGTTTTGATTAATGAGAAGCTCTGGATATTGAAGCCCAAGGGCCACAGAGACAGCGAATAGACTACCTGTGGCTGCCCCACAGCCTCACCCAGGTCTGGAGATAGCAGCCCTGACCCACCTTAGAGGCCAACATTTCTGCACAGGAGCCAGGTGCTTCTCTATCTTCCTGTGTTCTCCGAGAACAGAGCTTTCACTTATCTCCATCACACCTAGCCAAGATCTGAATGTCCTTCCTCTGTGCCGGCACCCAGGTAATGTAAAATCTGCTGATTTACCTTTTTTCAATAGTGACAGATATTTGTGTATCACTCCACTTTGTGGGCTAAGAGATGACACATGAAGAACTCGTGCAGAGCTGTTTTGTGGCTTCTGCCTAGTTTTCATCATCTTCAGATATTTGCCACTTTTATGCAGCAACATTGAAGTAGTTTTCATTCTGCTTTTGTCTAACTCTGACCTCAGGTCCAGGAATGTTTTCTATTCTAACAGTAATCTTCTGTTGCTCACCTTGAAGGATATTTTCTAATTCTCTGTCCTGTTCTTGGTGAGGTGCAAAGGTCCATCTCCAACTCTTCTTCCTGTTCCCTTCCCTGTTTCATTACACAGCACATCCTTAGCTGACACTTTTACTAGTTCAGGAGTATTTCACAAGACAGTAGGTGGAAAGGAAAGCAGATTCCAATATACTTTAAGCTGCATGTTAGTGTATGAATTTAAAAGGAAGAACAACACAGAAAATAAAAATAGAACAAATAAACACATATCCTTGCATCTAGAATTACCCAATTCTGGTAGTTTTCAGAGTACTTTTATTTAAATAGCAAAAAATGCATAAACATAGAAGTTACGTTCCTCTGCATCTTCCTTCTTCTTGCAAAAATATTTAACTTAATTCTTCAGATGTCCCTTTATTTTTTACAGGTTACACAAATGATAGTATGTATACTATCACAAATATGTGTGTGTATAATGTGTTGATATATAATGGAATGTAGTAATACATTAGTATAAATTAAATTCATTAATGTTAATGAATCATAAAAAGGAGTACTAAAACTAAAACCTGATTAAGTATACTGTTTTTGACCAATGGAAAATGCCCTGTGTAATATATAATATTTTGATATTTGAATCATGAAGTTGATTTGCACTATCTGTGGAAACTTTAAAACTCATTTACATGAAAGTAGACTAATGAGATGTATTTACTGGGAGAAATTAGAAAGAGAAGGGTAGAAGAACACCGTGTACCTTTGATCAGTACATTCTGTATGAAAGTATTCAAATTTCATACTAAACTCCATTAATATGTGCATAATCACACATTCAATTTTTGAGAAGAAAAAGATGAAAAGAAGAACATGATTTATAGGTAGAATCACAGTATTGAAACTATAGAAGGATCATCAACATCAACTTCATTGTGGTTAGTGTTTCCATGGGGAAGGTAAACGTTATCCTCATAGAATAAATAATAGATGAGTGTAAATATGCATTCCCTAATTTCTGTAACAATATATAATGCAAATATGGTGATATAATCTCAATTAATGGTGCATGATGCACACTGAATTCACTATTGCTTTTGATGTCCTTTGTGAATACTTGAATTATTTTATAAGAAATTAATAATTTAACATCTGTGATATTTCAAAGAATTTATATTTTAACATGCTCTATATATCTTGTTATTAAATTATTTTTTAATATTTTTATTACTTTTGTGGCTATTTCTCTTATATCTCTCTGTCTGCTCTTTTTGCTTTTTCTGTTTTTTTTTTTTTTCTCAGTACCAGGGATCGAACTGAGAACCTTGAGCTTGCCAGGAGATGTGGCTTCACTGAACTACATCCCAGCTCTTATGTCTGCTTTACTTATACTAGTTGCTAGACAATTTATTGAATGCACATATAAATGTGGATGGATATCATTGTTGTTCATTAAGTTACTCACTTTTCTTGCTTCTTTATATATGCAAGATTTTCGGTGGGAGTTTCATTACCCAGATTCTCTTCTCAAATGTGTGGTCTTCAAACAAAAGGTTTTTCTTAAAAGGTAATCTATGTGCCTCTGCTTTCTGGATTTTCTCCTTCACACTGCTTCCCTTCTGTTAGCAAATAAGTTGTGTTCTCATTCTTATCTCTGCAACATGCCCACAGCATTCTCCAATGGTTTCCCAGTTATAAAAGTGAGGACACTCTGGCTTCTTTAACAGTTTAAAATTTTTCTCATTTACAGTGCACGCACTAGAGCAATTTTAAATATAGGTTGAAGTAGTTATTGTTGAATTAGATTTAGTACAGTTTGCATTCAGTTTTCTTGTCTGGCAAATACTAAAATGAAAAGCCATATATACTGTTTCATATTTGACTTTTTCAGTTGGTTCAAAGGGTTTTAGTAAGTGTAATTTGTATAGTCAGGGAAATACAGTGGAAGAATGTGGAAATATTAGAAATATTTACTTCACTTTACAATATACTTGCGTTTTCTAAAAGGAAGGATATGGTCTTTGTTTCATGCCCTGTGTTTCCCAGTCAGCTTCTTCAAAAACATGGAATCAGAAAACCACACAAGGGTAGGAGAATTTCTACTTATGGGTCTCTCAGAGGATCCAGACGTGCAACCCCTCCTCTTTGGACTGTTCCTGTCTGTGTACCTGGTCACAGTGCTTGGGAACCTGCTCATCATCCTGACTGTCAGCTCTGACTCCCACCTCCACACCCCAATGTACTTCTTCCTATCCAACCTGTCATTCACTGACATCTGTTTCTCTTCCACAATGGTACCAAAGATGCTTGTGGACATCCAGAGACAGTGTCATACCATCAGTTACACAGGCTGCCTCAGCCAGATTTCCTTTGCCCTGACTTTTGGTGGAATGGAAAACTTTCTTCTTGCAGTTATGGCCTATGACCGTTATGTGGCTATCTGCAATCCCCTTAGGTACACAGTCATTCTGAGTCCCCATCTGTGTGTCCTACTGATTGTACTGTCTGTTTCCATCAGCATTGTGGATGCACTGCTTCACAGTCTGATGGTGCTGCAGCTGTCCTTCTGCACAGACCTGACAATCCCACACTTCTTCTGTGAACTTGCCCAGCTCATAAAACTTGCTTGTTCTGACACTTTCATCAATACCATTTTGGTGTATATGGTGACTGGCATATTGGGTATTGTTTGTCTCATTGGGATTATTTTCTCTTATGTTAAAATCTTCTCATCCATCCTGAGAATGTCTTCAGCTAAGGCAAAGTATAAAGCCTTTTCTACCTGTGGATCACATCTCTCAATTGTCTCTTTGTTCTATGGGGCAGGTTTTGGGGTATATGCTAGCTCTGAATTCACAAGTTCATCTAGCAGTTCTGCAATTGCTTCCTTGATGTACACGGTGGTCCCTCCACTTATGAATCCATTTCTCTACAGCCTGAGGAACAGAGATGTGAAAGAAGCCTTGAAGAAAATCATCAGACCATATCCTTTCGTGAGATTGTCTCATTTGCCTTGAACTTGAACTCCCAGAAAGAATGAAAATACAGGTGCTCTGAGTAAGCCAATGTAATAGACACTTCCACAACTAAGTCCATAGGACTCAAAGTATAGATGACATAATTGTAGGCTGAGAATTTGACTCAGTGGTTCTGCCACCTGCCTTGGAAGTGCAAGGTCCTGAGTTCGGCACCTTGTACAAAAAAAATGATAGATGTCATAATGATGAAGTATATTTCAACTTACATTTGAAAACTGACTTTATTGTTCTGTATCACTGTAACTTGTGAAAATTCATGTTAAATTACTGAGCTAGATTTCCTGGAGCATTGGAGCAAACAATGAGCATTTGACTTTTTCTGTAGTAATGAGGGGCTGCTTCTCAGGAGAATGTTAGTGACAGCAAGACCATGGGACAAAAGTGGGAGCTAAACAAGTGTTTCAATATGCATAAAGAAGAATCCTCAAACTATTGATAGTGCCATATAGTTTTTCAGAATTCTTCTTACCCAAAGACCTGTTGTAACTTCTCCCCCTGTCTGGAGATTTGCCAGGTGGTTCACAACAATGTCTTTTCCTCACAGGCTTCTATTCTGTTGAGGGGCAACTTGAAACTAGAAGCATATGTTAACATGCAAATGCCACAAATTATCAAATGCTTTCCTCAGGTATCTCTTATGTTTCTTCACCTATAAGAAGCCATGTGACAATTTGATGCTAAATGAAAATACTTTAAATATCTGTGTGGTTTGCTTTTCATGAAAAATAAATAAAATTTTTAAATTACCATGTCATGAATATGTGTTTGCTTGTCTGTGTTTGTGTATACTCGCATGTGTATACTTTTTGTGGGAGAGTGTTTGATCCTTTTTTCCACTGAAATGAAATTATGAACCAGTGTGTCATATAGTAAATAAACATTTAAAAATTTTTACTGGTATAACATTGGAATACATATACCTTCAACTCCTACATACAAGTATCAAATCTTGACCTTCTTTACTCTAATTACCATCCCATTTCTACAATTTCTGCATCCACTTTTTCATGTCGTCTATAAATAACTATATATTGCAAAATATATGAAAATAATTTGATACATTTATTTATGTGTTCTTCTTAGACAATGCTTAAATTTTGCTTACAACTGTCCCAGGTATTTATAAATATTATGTCTCCTGATGTTACAAATATTATGTTTATTTTTTTTTTCCTCTCATTGAGTTTATTGTTACATTTTAGGTATACAGTACAGTTGCATTCATCATTGGGATCTTGTACCTTTACATGACAGGTCTTGGTTTTCATTTTTTCCCCTTGTCCCTGCCCTCCCTTCACCTCCTCCTCCCCTCTCCATTTACAAACATTTTATATCCATTTTCTCCTATTTTTTCTTTCCCTTATTACCTTTCTCCTAACCTTCCTACTTTCCCTACACTTTTAGTCCTTTTCTTCCTATTCACATTGCCAATTATTACAAATGTGTTTCTTGATAAGGGGATCTGTAATTGGACTGGGGATGTGGCTGAGTAGTAAAACACTTGTCTGGCATGTGCAGTACCCTGGTTTCATCCAGGTACTAAAATGATGATGATGATCATGATGATGATGACGATGATGGGAATAGTAGTCTGTGATGAATCATCCTGCCAGAATCCTGAATGGTTAAATTTTCCTTGAAATTCTGTGATATTTTGAGATGCATTGCTTTTTACCTTAATATACTGTATGTACAGAACAGTATAGCTCTATAAGGTTTGACGGAGTAGAGCACATGAAAGACCATGTGTGTAGAACTGCACACATTGGTAAAGAACAGAATCATCATATAAATAAGGACTATAATGTAAACTAGATAATGTGAAATAGACAGAAGGAAAGTGGGAGGGATGGGGAAAAGAAAGAAGGGAATGGAATTAATATGAGAAAAAGAAAAAATAGAAACAAAGTCTTTGTAGACAGGGAGAGTTGGAGGAGTTGAAGGGAGGTCAGGGGAATGGGGAAAATAAGAACCACCATGGATTATGTAAAGGTATAATTTCCAATGATGAATGTAATTATATTGCATACCTAAAATGTACCAATAAAATTATTTTTTAAAAGAACAAAAGCATCATCAGCACCCATTGCTCACTCCTAAGTGATGCATGTTAGTCACCGGTTCTCTGATTTCTGCCACCAGAATGTAAGTACTCAAAAGTCAAGATTTTAAAATGCTCTTATTAGGATATGTTACCTGTTGCAACACTGGCCAATTTAAAGGACAAAGCTCTGTGATTCATTGCATATTTGCAGACAAATAGGAATTTTTGTATGATATATCATATGCACCTATTTATGTCCAAATTGTTCTACTCAGCATTATATTCATGGGATTCCACAGACTATCCCATGTAGCAAGAGTTTACTTCATCTACTAATTTATCCATTCCTCCTGTGTGAATATGTAAAATTGATTCATTTAATTGTTTGGATGTTGGGTTGTTTGTAGTAGGGATATTTATTGTTTGGTTTTCTGAGTTGAGATTGTGCTATGTAGTCAGGGTTAGCATGAAACTCACTATGTAGGCAAGGCTGGCCTCAAACTGCTGATCAATCTCCTTTAGCCTTCCATGAGTTACAATTAAAAATGTGCATCACAGTGCCTGGCTTGAGCCAGAATATTTTCTCAGTAGCACTCTGAGGAGTATTGTCATACATGTTTTTCAGTACAAAACTGTGCACATATAGCAATGCAATATTTATGTCTTAGGGAATAGATACGGTTACATTTATTGAATGCCACCATACAATATTCCAAAGAACAAGAACTTGCATCAACTTAAATTCTCATTGTCTTGATGATATATTATGAGGAATGCCTTCATTTTGTCCATGGGATCAATATGTAATAGCAACATACACTGATTTTTCTTTCTTTTAGTTTTTAAAACCAGTGCTTTAGCTACCTCAGAATGAGCTGTAATTAAGGAGGATCATATCTACTGTGTAGAGGTCAGAGCCTGCATCCAAGACTGAGATCCTGACTATCTGGCCAAATCATAGGCTGACTACATCATTGATATGTATATCTCCACTTGACCATTTTTTTTTTCTTCCAAGGAAAATAAATGGCCAGGTGAAATTCCCAAAGTTCTGCCCACTATGAAGATTTTCTTTCAGCATTGTCTCTCCAGGTTGTTCTAGAATGGGCCTGTGGTGCTGAAAATGAATACATTAGGTGGTTCCTCTATGATGTGTGGAATCACGGGTAAGTCAGGACCCAGTCTTCTCTTCCTAGCAACTGATCATAGAATACACCCCAAGAAGTGCAGATGGCAGGGCACAAGGAAATGTAGCAGGATTATGAACAAAGGGCATGTGGAAAGCTTCTTGTAACTTTCTTGCAGCTTCCAGATTTATGCAGACATGAGGAAATATATACCAGTTCATTGAATGATGGGCTCTGGCTGTGCAGGTCTAAGTTTACGTTGTGGTTAGATTGCACCCCATTCATAATGGACAGCTCAGTTTGCAAAGCAACCTATTCCACAGTGGTCTGTTCCATTTCTATCAAGTCTCAGTTGCAAGTCAGGAGCTGTATGTCAAAGGTAAAGTAGTTACCTGCACATGGTAACAGAGCCTTTCTCCAAAATCCAACAGGCCTCCACTGTGATACAATAAGGAAGTATACATGAGACTCTAAATAGCATCTTTATCTGTCATTATCACCTCAAATACTACTATATCTGCTTGATTATTTATTTCAATTATCAGAGAATCCTTCATAGCAGCCTGACTGTACTGCAGAGAATTCTTTTGTTTTCAGCCCCACA